ATTAAGCGCGGTCCACTGCTGCACACGTGCCACAATATCGATACAGGGCCAGCTGTATCGATACTCGTATCGTCAAATCTCTGTGACGATACATCGTCGTATCGATATTTTGAACACAGCACTAGTTATTATACATCTGAAATGGATGCAGTCACCACATAACTAATGTCTGTATTGTCAAAAATGTACAGTAGTCAAAGGGATTTCAAATCAATTTATTAAATACAAAACAGAAAACATTCAGTTCAGGTTAATACAGCTACATATAGCCAAAAATGTAAATACACAAAAGTGCAAACAAAGCAATGTAAGACTGTAGGATTTCGTCATGTGAAAATTGATGTGTGCGAAAGTCTTATCTGTAGTACTTCAATGTCCAAACACTGTCCATAGCTGAAGTAGACTGATAGCAAATGGATAATCCAACCTCTTGTAATGAAAACACGCCATGGCTCTCAAACACCAAACTCTTCCTAACCAGGAACAGTCAAAAATAGTCCAGACTATGGTCCCACGTCGAAAATTTTTTTTAATCCATATTCAAACTGGACTGTGATGTGGTAACCTCACCAATAAAGACTCCTTCTAAAATGCATACAAATACACAGTCTTAAACTCTTAGCATCAATCCAAACATAGGCCATACATACATGTAACATCTCTGCAAAAAAACATCCGCAATGTACACTTTGGAAAAAAAATAACAACTCCTTACTTTAGACTGGGCTTGAAATGACACATTTCCCAACCAGGACACAGCACAATGTGCTCAGCAGGTTACGGCTGCTTGTTATTTGTAACTCCCTCTACCCACATGGCTTTACTTAAGGAAACCTAAAACACCCTAGCACCCCTAGTGGTAAGGAAGAAAACTGCCCACAAAATTCTTATTAATAGGCTTGTGTCTGTTACACCTCAAATATGGTCAAATATAAAAAGAGCAGAGGCGGCGGGCTTGAGAACGGCACGGCCGGCGATTTCGACGCTTTGCAACTTTACAGATCTTCTTTATGCACCAAGAGCGTGTAACACTTCAAAGAGAAAGGAAAAATTGAAAGCGCATCATATGACCCCTTTAAAAGCGAAGGAAAGTGAGGTAAAGAGGGAAAACTCAAACAAACTAAAAACAAACAACTGCTTGACGGCGAATTGACACTATTTTGAAAGTGAAAGAAAAATGCACAGGGCGTTTTTACGAGCCATTTAAAACGTAAGGAAAGCGAGGAAAAGAGGGAAAACTACCCCCCTCTTTTCCTCACCGTCACAACCCTAAATTATACCCATCTATCTCAGAATGCGCCGTCAATGTGCTGGTGCCGTTTTCAACTTCTTTCCATGCACAGATATTTTATTTACATTTTTTAAGTTATAAGGTCAGGTTTGAACAAAACAAATGAGAAACTAAAGAAAAAATTTAACTTGAGTTGTTTATTATTATTTAAAGAGTTAAGTATCTATCTTTAAATGTGCAGCTATTTAAAACGGAAGGAAAGCCGTGAAAAGGGGGGAAACTACCCCCCTCTTTTCCTCACCGTCACAACCCTAAATTATACCCATCTATCTCAGAATGCGCCGTCAATGTGCTGGTGCCGTTTTCAACTTCTTTCCATGCACAGATATTTTATTTACATTTTTTAAGTTATAAGGTCAGGTTTGAACAAAACAAATGAGAAACTAAAGAAAAAATTTAACTTGAGTTGTTTATTATTATTTAAAGAGTTAAGTATCTATCTTTAAATGTGCTTTTTTCCAATGATTTCCACATGGTTCAAATCAGTCTGTTGACATTTGTCATCCAGTTGTAAAAGACAGATGGTTCATTTGAATGGGTTGTTTCACCTCATATTATGTCTGTTTGTCACAGATCAGCCAGGCTCATCCACCACTCAATCACAGCGCACACTGTCACCTGAATACTGATTGCACGCACCTGTTTGGAATTTGCACTCTCATCAGGACTCCTACTAAAGCACACACCTCACTTCACTCTAGTGTCCGGTCTCGTTCATACGAAGTGGACTCTCTATGCTATCTGTGCGATACATTGAGCTACCTGCCTTGTGTACTTACCTTCTGTGTCTCCTCCAGTGTGTTCTCCTGTGCTCAGTTCCTACGTCAGTTCCAGTTGTCATCTCCGTAGGGATATTCTCATTACTCGTCATCTGAGGTGTGTGTTGTCTCCCTTCCACGATCTCCTGCAAAACCAGAGACTGTGTTATATTCTCCATCAGTTCAGAGAACTGCTCCATTGCCTATAATACTCACCTGCCATTACCATCTGCATCATTTGCTGTCAATAAATATCCCAGTTTGTATTCTAATCCTCTGTGTGAGTCTCCTTCCGTAACAGAAGACCGGGCCAACAAAGGATTCAGCAACATGAGTGCACCCGACTCGTTCAAGGAGATCGTGAATGCTTTCAAACGGATTCTCAGCCCTGCACCAGTCACACCACCTGTCACGCCCGTCACCAACGCCGCCACTTCTTCTTCGACAGTAATTACCAGTCCCAATGCCAAACCAGCGCCCTTCTCTGGCTCGGCGGATGAGTGCAATGGATTTCTGCTGCAATGCTCGCTCGATCTGGAGATGCAGCCGCATCTTTACACAACGGATAAAGCCAAGATTGCGTTCATCATATCCCTGCTGACAGGACGAGCACTCCAGTGTGCCGAGACCATCTGGTCCCAAGCCGGTACTGTAACTCAATCTCTTGATCATTTTATTGTACATTTCCGAGAAGTCTTTGGCAGACCAGCAGGCGATACCTCTTTCTGTGAAAAATTATATCACCTTCGACATTCTCTATCCGTTAATGATTATGCCCTCAAGTTCAGAACTCTCGCAGCGGCCAGCGGCTGGAATGAGCGCGCACTCCTCACCGCCTACCGGCAGGGATTAGAATCGAAAGTGCGGCTTCAGCTCGCTACCTATGATGACTCCTATGGTTTGGAATGATTTATACAGCTGTCCATCCAGTGTGCTACTCGTATGCAGTCTTGTTTCGAAGAACATTGACTCTCACCATTCACTCCACTCCTTCGCCGGCCAGACACCATCAGCCCTCCAGAACCAGGTCACGAGCTCATGCTGGTGGATAACACTCGACTCTCTTCATTGGAACAGCAGAGACGGCTGACCCAGGGCTTATGTCTGTACTGTGGAGCTGGTGGGCATGTAATCGCGGCATGCCCAATTCGGCCACCATGACCCATGGTGAGTGTCATTAAGCCATCGATAGTCAATATGAACAAGCCCAAATCTCTTTCCTGGTCACCAGCTGCCACTGAAGCCTTTGAAGCCCTCAAGAAAGCCTTCACCTGTGCACCGCTGCTCATCCATCCAGACCCCAACAGGCCCTTCGTTGTGGAGGTGGACGCTTCCACTACCGGGGTAAGGTTCCACTACCTTCTGTCTCAGCAGCAGGGGTCTCCAGCCAAACTTCATCCATGTACCTTTTTCTCTCGCAAACTCAGCCCGGCGGAGAGAAACTACGATATCGGCAACAGGGAACTCTTGCCATTAAGCTGGCCCTGGAGGAATGGAGGCATTGGTTGGAGGGTGCACAACATACATTCATTGTCCTCACTGACCACAAAAATCTGCAATATCTGCGAGACGCCAAGAGACTTAATCCTTGCCAGGCACGATGGGCACTCTTTTTCACTCGATTCAATTTTACCATCTCCTATCGTCCAGGTTCCAAAAATGTGAAAGCGGACGCTCTCTCTCGTCTTCATGCTCCTGAAGAGGTCAGTGAGGAACCAGAATCCATTATCTCCAAGGAAATCATCATAAGCCCCATCCAATGGTCCCCCAATCCAGCCGCCTCCTCCAATGCTTCCACGGCCACTCCGCTGGGCTGTCCACAAGGATTGCAATATGTCACCAGAGCACAACGCACTCCCCTGATTCACTCCGCTCACACTTCTCTGGGCACTGGCCACACTGGGGCCAACAACACCATCTCGCTGCTGAAGTATCGCTTCTGGTGGCCCAATATGGCCAGGGATGTGACAAGGTTCGGCCAAGGCTGTTCCGACTGTGCCATCACCAAGAGCCCACGCCACCTACCATCTGGCAAACTTCTTCCGCTGCCCGTTTCCAACCGCCCCTGGTCACACATATGAGTTGACTTCATCACAGATCTGCCGGCCTCGGAGGGTAACACATGTGTTCTAGTAGTCATTGATCGATTTTCTAAATCCTGCCGTCTTCTCCCCCTCAAAGGTCTACCCACAGCTATGGAAACCGCTGAGATCATGTTTAACAACATCTTCAGATATTACGGGATCCCAGAAGACATTGTCTCAGACACAGTGGCCCACAGTTCATTTCCAGGGTATGAAAGGCCTTTTTCTCTCTCCTAGGTGTGACCATAAGCCTCTCGTCGGGATACCACCCCCAGTCCAACGGGCAGACGGAGAGGAAGATCCAGGAAGTTGGACGTTTCCTGCTAACCTTCTGCCACGGCCACCAGAACTCTTGGAATCAGTTCATAGGCTGGGCCGAGTACGCGCAGAACTCTCTTCGCCAGCCATCCACTGGACTCACTCCCTTCCAGTGCGTACTCGGTTACCAGCCGCCCCTATTCCCCTGGTCGGGGGAGCCGTCTGATAGTCCTATCTGTCGATTACTGGTTCCGAGAGAGCAAGAGGGTCTGGGACGCAGCTCACCATCAGCTTCAGCAGGCAGTGCACAGAAGCAAGACGACAGCAGACCTTAGAAGGGCTGAAACTCCATCATACCAACCTGGTCAGAAGGTCTGGCTGTCAACATGGGACATCAGGATGCGCCTGCCCTGCAAGAAGCTCAGTCCCAGATATGTTGGCCCCTTCACCATCATCAAGCAGATAAACCCAGTCACTTACCAACTTCAGCTTCCCTCACAGTATAAGATTCACTCTTCCTTCCATGTTTCACTGCTCAAACCTTACCATCCTCCTGTTTCTGTCTCCACAGAACCTGGCCCGACAGAGGAACCCCCTCTTCCGTTAATCCAGGAGGACGGCGCCATCTACAAGGTCAACGAGATCTTGGACTCCCGGCGCCGTGGTGGTATCTTGGAATATCTTGTGGACTGGGAAGGCTATGGGCCAGAGGAACGGTCATGGGTTCCCAGAGTTGACATCCTCGATCCCACACTGCTGGAGGCCTTTCACTCCACTCATCCAGATCGTCCTGGGCCCCGAAGGAGAGGTAGACCACCACGACATCGGGGTCATCGGCCCTTAGGAGAGGGCCGTGGAGGATGGGGTACTGTCACAGATCAGCCAGGCTCATCCACCAAATGTGCTTTTTTCCAATGATTTCCACATGGTTCAAATCAGTCTGTTGACATTTGTCATCCAGTTGTAAAAGACAGATGGTTCATTTGAATGGGTTGTTTCACCTCATATTATGTCTGTTTGTCACAGATCAGCCAGGCTCATCCACCACTCAATCACAGCGCACACTGTCACCTGAATACTGATTGCATGCACCTGTTTGGAATTTGCACTCTCATCAGGACTCCTACTAAAGCACACACCTCACTTTACTCCAGTGTCCGGTCTCGTTCATACAAAGTGGACTCTCTATGCTATCTGTGCGATACATTGAGCTACCTGCCTTGTGTACTTACCTTCTGTGTCTCCTCCAGTGTGTTCTCCTGTGCTCAGTTCCTACGTCAGTTCCAGTTGTCATCTCCGTGGGGATATCCTCATTACTCGTCGTCTGAGGTGTGTGCTGTCTTCTGTCTCCCTTCCACGATCTCCTGCGAAACCAGAGACTGTCTTATATTCTCCATCAATTCAGAGAACTGCTCCATTGCCACAACTCCACGTCCATCGAGAGCCCAGTCGAGAAACAGTCAGTTGACATTCCACCCTGTTACGCCCCCTCCAGTGATGTATTCTGCCCGAAGAGAGCCTCCCAGTTACCTCCGCACCGGCCATGGGACTGTGCAATAGATCTGATTCCGGGTGAGCCAGTGCCCCATGGAAGGATTTACCCCTTGTCACTCCCGGAACAGAAGGCCATGGAGGAGTATATTGAAGAGGCGTTACATCAAGGCTACATGCGCCCTTCTACGTCCCCTGCTGCTTCAAGCTTTTTCTTCGTGGCCAAGAAGGACGGAGGTTTGAGGCCTTGCATAGATTAACGGGCACTGAATAAAAGTACTGTCAAGTTTCGCTATCCACTTCCCCTCGTTCCAGCGGCATTGGAACGTCTCCGCGGAGCCACCGTCTTCACCAAGTTAGACCTCCGCAGCGCTTACAACCTCATCCGGATACATGAGGGAGACGAATGGAAGACCGCATTTGTGACCCCTACTGGGCACTACGAGTATCTTGTCATGCCGTATGGACTAGTAAACGCCCCCTCCGTATTCCAGGATTGGGTTCCCAGAGTTGACATCCTCGATCCCACACTGCTGGAGGCCTTTCACTCCACTCATCCAGATCGTCCTGGGCCCCGAAGGAGAGGTAGACCACCACGACATCGGGGTCATCGGCCCTTAGGAGAGGGCCGTGGAGGATGGGGTACTGTCACAGATCAGCCAGGCTCATCCACCACTCAATCACAGCGCACACTGTCACCTGAATACTGATTGCATGCACCTGTTTGGAATTTGCACTCTCATCAGGACTCCTACTAAAGCACACACCTCACTTTACTCCAGTGTCCGGTCTCGTTCATACAAAGTGGACTCTCTATGCTATCTGTGCGATACATTGAGCTACCTGCCTTGTGTACTTACCTTCTGTGTCTCCTCCAGTGTGTTCTCCTGTGCTCAGTTCCTACGTCAGTTCCAGTTGTCATCTCCGTGGGGATATCCTCATTACTCGTCGTCTGAGGTGTGTGCTGTCTTCTGTCTCCCTTCCACGATCTCCTGCGAAACCAGAGACTGTCTTATATTCTCCATCAATTCAGAGAACTGCTCCATTGCCTATAATACTCCCCTGCCATTACCATCTGCATCATTTGCTGTCAATAAATATCCCAGTTTGTATTCTAATTCTCTGTGTGAGTCTCCTTCCGTAACACTGTTGTGATGCATTCATAAATTCATGCTGCTGTTTATGCTTAATTTGTTGTTTGCTCATCTGGATTTAATTTCATATATGTATTTACACATGTATGTTTAGTTTAATTGGTTTGGGGTGCCATGGGAAAAAAATACTACAAACGGGTGCCATGCTTTCAAAAAGTTTGGGAACCACTGGTCTATGGTACAGTATGTGTATGTCTGTGTTTAGTTTAAATTTAACAGATGTGTGTCTACTTCACTTTGGGCATAGCAGTTAGGACTAATTTATCTTGTTTAAGTTTGTCTCATGGTGCCACCCACAAGTCCGAAAGTCTGTGACTAATCTCTGTTTCTAATCATGACAGCAGTCACAGAATGCAAAATTCTGTCTTAATTTTAAAAGGGAATTATGCTGCCAGGGTTCTGTTGCTTTGCTGTGCTTTTTCTCCTCTCTCTCTCTCTCTCTCTCTCTCTCTCTCTCTCTCTCTCTCTTCCTCTCTGTT